TGGACTGGATGGGCCTGTAAACATGGGATTGGCTCTGCGGTGAATCTCGGGGTTCAGAGTGTGTCCCTGAGTCAGGGCCAGCCTGAGCTGGTTCTCCTCCCACTGATCTTGTTCTTACTCTGCTCCTCTTCATTTCTTTCTCCTCTCCCCTCTTCCTGACTCCATCCCTCCCCTCCTCCCTACCCCCTCTATCTGCCTTCCTGCCCCTCTCTCCCCCTGCTCTCCTCCTGCAACCCTCCCTCCTCTCCTGCTCTTCCTCTTTCCTCTCTCCCTCCAGATCTATTGACTCTTTGCCTGATAATCAAAAGTACAGGCAGCTCCAGAGGGAGCTGTCCCAGGTGCTGACCCAGCGCCAGATCTTCATTCAGCCCGATAACTAGGGCTCAGGTACAGCCTGCCCGTGTGGGAGTGACACTGTGTGTGTGTCTTACTGACCGGGCCTGAGACATGTGCAGGAGAACTGTTCGGCCTCTCAGTGCACAGAAGCCTAATCCAGCCCAGGTTTTCCAGCGTTGTCAAGCAGACTCGTGCCACAGCGTCCTGAACGTCTTCAAGATTGAAAGCGCCATCAATCAGGCTCCCGGTGTGAAGCATGGGCGTTATCCCTCCCCCACATCCGGTCAATTTTACTGCTCTGCACCACTGGAATGGCAGGGAAAACCTGGAGGTGACCATGCTGCTGTGGATTGGGAGTGGGATGTGTTCCCTGCTGCGTGCGTGTGTGTGTGTGTCACAGTGCATCCCTCACTCACAGCGCTGCAGCGCACCTGCTGGACACTAACTGGTAACCATGTGTGCCGGAGTGCTGCCAGCCTGACCTTCTGCGCACTAACAGCAGTCTGCCTGCAGGGTGCAGTGTCACGCTGTCTCCTGAGCTCCCTTGCCTGGGCGCTGTGCAAGGGAGGGCAGGTCAGCAGCACACCAACAGTTTCTCGCCTCTCTCCTCTCCGCCCCCTGCAGGAGCGTTCAGACTCTGGCCGACAAGTCGAAGCAGGAGGCCCTGAAGAACGACCTGATGGAGGCGCTGAAACGCAAACAGCAGAGTTAGAGCCCGACGCTCCTGTTCCCCCGCCCTCTCCTCTCGCCACCTGTGTCTCCTCTCACTCCACCCCTCCCTCCCCGGCGCTGAGCACTCTCTTCATTAGGATAAAAGGCTTTCATTGTGTTCTTTGGTTTTCTTTTTTATGTTGTTGTCATCGATCGATCTCCTTTTCCCTGAAGCCATTTGACTTTGTTCTGTTACTGTTGCCACCGTTGTTGTCGCTGGGTTTCTCTCTGTTCGTGCTGGTCTGCCCGCAGGCTGCAGCAACAGGACTCGCAGTTTCCCTTCGGCTTCAGTTATCATTGCCACCTGTACTGTCACTAACCCTTCCTTCCCCTCCTGTATAAATTGTAAAAGCAACTCAGCAGAACCTTATGCTAATGACTCCATTGGATGAAAGTATTTTGTACAAAAAGGAGAGAAAAGTGATATGAATTTTTGGTGATGGTTCGTCTTGTCCTCAGTCTGTCTGTCGCGCTGTCTTCCTGTCGGACTGTCGGGGTGTGTGTCTGCCTGTCTCTCTGGGGACCCTGCGCCCCCCCGTCCCGCTGTCCCGGGCACCGCGTGGCGCTGATGTCTCCGGGTGAGGCTTCAGTCTCGGCCTGGAGGCGTGTGCCCGGCACGGCCCGTCTCGGAGTCGCGGCCCGGCCCCCCCAGCAGGCGGACAGCGCCGGAATCGGCCGAGCCGCTGTGTGTGACCCTGGTCTCTGCCGAGTCCGGCCTCTCGTCTGCCTGACCAGGGCCGCGGTTTCTGTCTGCGAGATCTTCCTCTGTTACCTTGTTTTTCGTTTTGTAAAGCTTAGACTTGAGATGTTGACCTCGTGTGTTCGAGCCTCCAACACAACATCAATAAAGGACAAAGTGGTTTCTGGCCTCCGAGCTCTTTCCTTGGTGTCGGCTGTGTGTGACCGAGGGAGCGCAGACGCGACCCCCTCCTCTTCCTCTTCCTCTCCAGCCTTGCTCTCCCCTTCTTTCAGAGAGGGTTTGGAGTGCAAGAGGGAGCGTGTGTGTTTCAGCCCGTCGGCCCCCGGGGTCTGAGCCCAGGCTCTCCCCTCTGCTGTCCCCCGGCAGGCAGGTCGCCGGTCCTGGTGGCTGCGGAGAAGCGCGACCTCATCGGTCATCGCGGTGCTGCCAGCCCACGGCCCGCTGGACTTGGGCATCCTGCCGGCTGAGCGATTCTGTCGCTCGATGATGGTCGCCTGGCCACCAGCTCACGCTCAACCGACTTGTTCTTTTCTCTTTTTTAACTCTCCTCTGACGTGATTGACTCGGTATATAATTGGACGCAGTGTCTGCATGGTACTTTCCGCTCGGAGGCAGATGGGAAGTCCGTGCCAGTTTGGCCCGCGGGTCAGTGAGGGCTACCTGCTGTACTCGTGGCCGACTTCTGGTTGGTTCCTTTCGTGGGAAAGCTGGCTGGAGGGGTGTGGGTGCCCTCTAGTGGTTGGTGGTGAGTGCTGGATTGTTGTCTGAGGTGTTTTCCCAAAGCCTCGGTTTTGTTCCCCTTTTTGCACCGGGGTATTTAACTGAAACATCTGAGCCATACAGCCCTGAGTCTCAGGGGGTAGCAGCTGTCTTGTCTGGGGTTTGAGCCCACAGCTGTCCAGCTCTGAGTTCAGAGCCCTGATCGCTCTCTGCAGATCCCTGCTGCACCCCCTGCTAAAGCAAATGAAAACATTTCAATGTAGCTCGACTAGAATCTCATTTACTAGAACTGGCACCAGGAAGGGGCTGTCATTATTATTCAGAAGAGTCTGCTCGGTGGCTCAGTGGCGTGGAGGCAGTGAGAGCTCGCTGAAGAAGAGGGATTATCCGGATCTGGATGCAGAGACACGGTTTTCCTCCCGGCAGAGCAACCGGATAAGCCCAAGGGTGGGCTGGAGTGGTGGATACGGGGATTAGGGAAGCCGGGAACAGGCCGGTCGGAGGAGGGAGGGGTGGCAAGAGAAGGTAGACAGACACACACACACACACACACCAGAGTGGGCTGTCAGTGTGCCAGTATTTCCACAGCCGCCCTGTTGGGGTGATCTCACCAGAACCCCCTGTTGGGATTAAAGGGGTCCCCCTACTGCTCCACTGCGGCAGGACGGCTCGGCTGCGGGTCCTGGCTCGGCCTGGATAGGTGCCGCTCTTGCCTCTGACGTAACGGCACGCTTTCAAAGAGGACGGTGTCTTTTGTGAACTGCCTCTTCTCTTCGTTGTGGGTTGTGATTTGCATGAGCTGTGATGCCACACAGGAGCCACACACTTGCTCACAGCTCACATAGCAGAACAGGAGGCCGAGGACACGGCTGGCACGCACAGACTCCACCTCGCAGAGCACGCACACACACTCTTACCCAGCCCACACGCTCGCGAGGAGCCCGCAGACACAGCCACAGCCACACCAGAGAGAGGGGTCCGCTGCGCGCAGGTTTCATGACTCCGTGAGGGGAAAGCTGCACAGACCTCGCCTGACCACCACACGGCCACTCCGAGACCTCGCCTGACCGCTGCGCCGGCCCCGGGCTGCTCGATGAACCGGCCGACCCCCTGATGGAAGGAGACGAACTCCTTCAGGCCCGAGGCGTGCGTCCGGCTGTGGGGGCAGTGGGATGGAGGCGGGAGGGAACGAGTCGCTGCCCTGGCCGAGGGGCGCGGCGGGGGGGGGCAGCGGCTGGGTGGCCGCGGCTCTCTCCCTGATCGTCCTGCTGACGGTAGCGGGCAACACGCTGCTCATCCTGCTGATCTGCACGCAGCGCGCCCTGCGCAGCACCTCCAACTACTTCCTGGTGTCGCTCTTCATGTCCGACCTGATGGTGGGGCTGGCGGTCATGCCCCCGGCCATGCTGAACGCGCTGTGCGGCCGCTGGGTGCTGGCGCCGGGCCTCTGCTCCGTCTGGGTCTCCTTCGACGTCATGTGCTGCAGCGCCTCCATCCTAAACCTGTGCCTGATCAGCCTGGACCGGTACCTGCTCATCATCTGCCCGCTGCGCTACAAGCTCCGCATGACGCCCGGCCGCGCGCTGCTGCTCATCCTGGCCGCCTGGAGCCTGGCCGCGCTGGCCTCCTTCCTGCCCATCGAGATGGGCTGGCACGCCCTGGGCGCCCCCCCGCTGCCAGCACCGGGGGAGTGCCGCCTGCGGGTCAGCCTGCCCTTCGCCCTGGTGGCCTCCTGCCTGACCTTCTTCCTGCCGTCCGCCGCCATCTCCTTCACCTACTGCCGCATCCTGCTGGCTGCCCGGCGCCAGGCGCGCCAGGTCGCCTCCCTGGCCACCGCCCTCGCGCTGGCCCCGCCCGCACAGGTGAGCGACAGCCCCGCCCCGCTGGGGGGGGTGGGGGGGACGCTTTTTTTTTTACAATCCTCCAGGGAATCGGAGCTTCGGCAAGACTGGAGAAATGCAAAACAAAGAAACGCCAAGATCCACCAAGAACCGAGAGAGGGTGCAAGACGAGGCGGCGTGGGTCCGGTCTGCGGGGCGAAGGGAGAGGAGCTGCTCATCCTCATCCTCACGGCTCCCAGCAGAGCGAAGAGGACTGGAGCACAGAGCCACAGTGCCGTCAGCCTGCTGGGAGAAGTATTGTCTATTCCTCGTGTGTAAAGACGTGTGCATTGCTGCAAGGCACAGAGGAAATATTCTAGCGATTGAATGTTCCTTTATCACATTACTGATGGTCTGTTTTACACTGTGACCACTGTCTGCGGGCTGCGCCCTCTGGAGGGTTGGCATACGAGCGTGAGGAAGGTTACAAACGAGAGGGCACCCTGGGGCTCTGGGTGCAACTGAACCAGTGTGAACCAGTTCCCCTGGCAGGGGGGACTGGGCATCAGGGCTGCAGGGCATCGTGAGGGAAGGGGAGGGGTGAGAGGGAGAAGATCTCCACACCAGTGACAAAGAGGATGTTGAGTCAGAGTTGGAAGTGGTCTTCAGTGTGTCAGCGTGTGTTTCAATGCTCTGCCCAGGCTGGGCTCCTGTTTGTGTCACTGTGCCCAGGCTGGGCTCCGGTCTGTGTTGCTGTGTGTCTGTGTCACTGTGCCCAGGCTGGGCTCCGGTCTGTGTTGTTGTGTCTGT